CTGTTCAAAATGTGTCACCTCTGGAATATCTTTAGTTATTTCATTGTTTTCTAATTCTTCTAATGTGTTCTCTTGCAGAGGAGAAGGTCTGAAGTGGGGGACAATTAATCCAAAAGAGGAGGAACTGTTTTTTGGACTGGACATCATTCATCTGCAGCCATGTGTTCTACTAATCACTCAAACTGGGTCACATTTGAAGATGACAATACACCCCTCTCATCACCTCAGAAGCCTCTACAGTCACCAGGGCTTATCAAAGCATCGGTACCGCGTCCCAATGGTCTGAAATTAGTGCTTCCTCCAATCAGAGACACTTCCTGGAGCTTCAGTCGTTCCTTGGAATCCCCTCAAAGCCACTCAAGCCTTAGTGGAAGTTCCTGTGTACCATGTAACACACCCTTTTGCACTCCTGTGAGTGGGGGTCCTAGCAGCGCATCCCCATTTCACTCCAACACGTGGGAAAAGAACGACTTCTTCCAGAGTTTGTCCAGCACATCGACCACTTCTGCTCCCTCTCCTGCACCAGAGGCCTTGAATCAAACCTCAGATGGACCAAGCCCTTTCCCTTCTTTCCAGGGGAACTCAGGACACTATAACCCCTTCTGGGATGGATCTAGACACAGCGCAGATGTGGGCAGCTCCTCCTCAGACTCAGAATGTGACAACAGCCTACCACGTTTCTTTATTCGGACCAAAGACGGCAGTGAACCTCCACGTGACCAACTCCAGAGCTCCTTCTCCTACGTTTGCCACAGGTTGGAAGGCCTACGAACAGAAACAGACCCTGAAGTGGAGACAGAAAAAGATGGGCAGAGGCAGCTAGGTTGCAAAAATGAAGTGCTAAGTGAAGATTCAACTCAGTTCGTTCCTCGGGGTCTGTTTCGTAGCCAGAAGAGAGACGGCTGGCCTGTCATGCTCAGGATTCCTGAAAAAAAGAACCGCATGTCTTCTCGACAGTGGGGGCCGATCTACCTCCGCTTGTTGCCGGGAGGTGTGCTGCAGATGTACTACGAGAAAGGGCTGGAGAAGCCATTCAAGGAGTTCCAGCTTCTCCCTCAATGTCGGCTCTCGGATCTTAAACTGGAAAGCTACGGAGAGCCTCGCAAGGTCCTCGCGGTCAAGGTGGAGCACTTCTCCTACATCGAGAAGAAACGCTATCACCCGAAGTTGGAGGTTAGTCATGATGCAGAGGTAGACCAGCTGCTCAAGTTTGGCTCCACAGTGCATGACGACATGGAGGACCTGGTAGTATCCATGGAAGAGGAAATCTTCAAACTGTGTATGCCCCATCAGCAGAGGCGGCACTATGAGGAGCAGGAGCTGTCGCTGCAGATCACTGATCATATCTGGGTACAACTGGATAAGTTTGGAGGAGTCGTGGAGCGGACAGCTTTCACCCAGATTCACTGTCTCGCTTTTCTGAACGGACTAGGGGATTGTTTTCTTGCCCTAAATGATCTCGGGCTGCTGCGCTTCGACTCCAGCTACGGGTCCGAGGAGGGCAGTGAACTCTGGATGGAGATTGCTGACTGCCATTTTCACAAATGTGTGAATGAGACAGAGTTTCAGAGGTCCCGGCTGATTAAGTTCTCTCCTCCTGACGCCTGCAGGGTAGAGCTGATGCGGTACAAGACGACAAGTCTGGCTTGCACAGATATTCCTTTCTCAATCAAAGCTGTGGTCACAGTTCAAGGTGCCTATGTGGAGCTGCAGGCCTTTCTTAACATGTCACCCACCTTCCTTTCCTCCATGGGGGGGTCTGACAGGCACCCACTGTGTGAGAATGTAGTGATCCGTGTGCCGGTGCCAGGCGACTGGGTCAAAGTGACACAGACAGTGGCCTTGCTGCGACAGAGGTCACTGAAGGCCCGTATGAACAGAAATGCCTGCTTGGGCTCCGTCGGAAATGCAGATTCACAGCCTGTCATGCAGGTGTCAATTGGCACTGTCAAATATGAGAATGTATATTCAGCCGTCGTGTGGAGGATCGACAGACTGCCAGCGAAAAATACAGGTAAACACATTTACATATCATGCTCTCATTAGCTTCTTTGGCTTGGCTTCTTGTGCATGTATACAGTATGTTTGCCACTCAGTCGAGTAACACTCTAACTACAAGCGACCATTGTTTTCTATTTTTGCAGCAGTGGATCATCCCCATTCATTTTCCTGCAAGCTAGAGCTGGGATCTGATCAGGAGATCCCAAATGACTGGTACCCTTTTGTCACGATGGAATGTGAAATAACGGGCGCAGTTGTGTCGCAGACCAGGGTGAAGTCACTGGGCACCACGAACGACATCCAGCCGCAGAAACATTTGACCAGTTGGACACGCTATCATTGTCAGGTAAGATGTTTCATCAATAACAGTATCATGCTCAATGCATGCACAAGCTTTAATGTAGATGGAGGAAACACCTTCATTTATTAGTGCATGTAACCTAATGTTGTGTTTTTTTTTAGGTGGAAGTGGAGAAGAAATGGATTGAAACGGAATCACAGAGGCAGTCCGGCTGTATGACACAGTGATGATTAAGGAGGACCTTATCCTCTTTGGTCCAAGACATTTGCCAAAATCTTCTTAGTAGTGAAAATGGATGAGAGAAAATGAACAAAAACAAGGGTGACGAGGGACTTTCCTGCTTATATATCCGGTGTCAAATTCATCTAATAACACGTAGCCTGGTAACCGATTTTATATCCTTTAACTGAGACTGAATTATTCTAGACCTAATCAAAAAAATTAACATGGTCTTTTTGCCTAGCACTTTACATTTAATAGATTTATTAATTGTAAGATTACAGTTTATATGAGTATTGTATATAAGCTTGCATTTGCATCATCTGCACTGCCCTCCAGAATGATTGGCAGCCTTAATAAACGTACGCCGGACAGGCTGCATGAGATAAACAGCTTAAGTAATGAGCAACATTCACTGTGTTTGAGGAAAACTAATTATCAGTAGATGTTTAGCATCAGACCCTGTTGTTGCCCAGCGATTTTTAAACTTCACATATTTCCAAATTGATTCACTTAGGTATGACTCCTCCACATTTAAATTAAATGTTATTTGGCAGTGGCATTACTGTTTTGTTTGTTTTATATTGTGCTCTAAGAATCTCAGTATGTAGGTGACATCAGTAAGTGTCAGACAAAACAATGCTACAACGTTAATATTTTGAACGGTAACTGTCTTGCCTTCTGCCAAATACAGACACAGTGCACTTACAAAGTGAAACAGCGGTAGCAGTTATATGACTGATTATGTCCCATGCTTGGAGTGGTTTTTGAAGTTGTAATATAGTAGCAGCTATACACAAACCTTTCTTTGCAAAAGAAATGACTGTGCAACATAGGGTGTTAATATTCTTATATAAAGTGAGATATTAATTTTCTAATGTTTTTTCACATTTATACAACTCATTACTTTGGTTGCTTACCTCGAGCTGACCTTTTACTTTCTACCGAGGTTGTATTCTGGAGGACTGTATTGTTATTTAAACAAATCAAATCTTTATTATGTGATCTTTCTGCCTCTGGGTTGTGAGTAGGTTGAATGAAAAAAATAGAGTGGTGAAGCTTTGTAGTGAACAAGGCCCTAAATGATGACTTGTATGTATGAGGTACCTGGCTTAAGCTGGATATTATGTACATCATGAGTAAAAATTGAATTAAACCTGAGTGACTGGTACCTTTTCACATATGTTGTTAAGACTGAAATAAAGTGTTGTGCTCTATTGTACACACTCTTAAAACTTTAGATAAAGTAAAAATACATTTTATAGTTTATACCTTGTTAAACTAAGTCCCAAACCACTTAATGATAATTGTGTTTTGGCGTGTGGTTGATACATACGGTATGTAGGCATGGTACGTAGTGATATTTTTGCCCTGAAAGCAACGCTGGGGTGTCAGAATGCATAAAAATCTCTGGATGACATCTCCCACACAAAGCTTTTGTTTGTGGTCACACAAACCTGGAGAAACTGCGCATACTGAAACACCACAATAACACACTTTAAACTCACAGAAATGAGAGATCTTGACCCTATACCCAATTTATTAAACTATTACCAAGTGATGAAGGAATACTTCTTTCATGTTTAACTGTGTTTCAAACATTGTGTGATTAACTATGACAGGTTTTGGATGATTTTCAAGTTGTTAGTTCTGGTTGATCATCACAGCGGGCTTTGTTTGGGGCTGTAAATTGACTGTGGTTATGGCTCTGAGGAAGCCTACAAAGGGTAATGTTTTAAATTCATCTTATAATTCAAGGAGAACTTATATCTGAGTCCTGAGTTGCTTTATAGTCATGTGACAGCTAAGTGCCTGCTAGTTTCTCCGACTGCAGTATCTACAGAGGTGTCTCATGTTGCTGCTTTTCAGCCGTAGCACTCTCATCCTTCCTCTGAGGAGTCAACCTACAGTGTTGAAAGAGAGCCAGCATTGCCAAACGGATGCTTGGAGGAAGCAGGGGTCACGGCTCCTTGCTGTTGCTACAAATCTATTGAACGGCAAGTTCAAAATGAAGTGTTTTGTAAAGGGTGAAATATTTTTAACTCCTGGCATTCTGCACTCCTGGGATCTGAAACTGTACTGAGCTCCCAGCTCTGTGGAAAAAATGTGGAACAGTGTAACCTTTCTGTTGAAAGTAACCAGAAAAGGAGAGATGGAAAGGTTCTGCAGAACGAGAATATTTGAGGGATTGGATAACCACAGTTACTCTGAAACTGCACGTCTGAGATAAGCCACCACTAAGGTCATGAAGCCATATTCAACATTAGTAGTGTTTTTGTCTCTGTAGGTTTCACTGCTATGAGAAATTATTGGAAATCTCAACTGTGGGTAAATTTAAGTTGCTCTGCAGGGGAACCAACTATCGCTGTTTTTACACACTCTTCATCCAAACATGTGAACGCCTCCAGCCACGCCTGTCTGTGGAGCCTGATTACAGTCACCTGTGTGTGCACTTTCTATCAAGCTGCTGCGGGCAAAACGTTGACTTTATCAGCGTTAAATTCGGGTGTTATGTGTCCAATTTGATGGAAGTCCATTGTTACCGTTCCGCAGTTGTTTTTGCCTTCAATCATGCTGACCAACACAGGCCCAGTGGTAAGCAGCGCTGCTTTTTAGTTAGTTTCGCTACACGCTAACTAATAATAGCAAAACTATTGAATTGTGTGTAGGCCGTGAAGTAGCCTAATGACTGTGCACAGTTCTCTTCAAATATAGGTTATTTATTGTGAGTCTCAAATTATTTATTTGGAATAGCTCCGTGCAGTTTAATTCATCATGTTTTCAAACCAAATTTTATTCAGAAAGCTATTAATTATGTCTAAGATGGCTTTCTATATCGCCACATGTAAACTCTTAAGAGTGTAGTCAGTGTTTGGCTCTTCAATAAATCTGCCTAGAAATATTTTATGCCAGTAACATTTTATCTGGGACTATTTAAATTGATGGAAATGCAGAGTGGGGAGACTTATTCTGAAAATAAAAATTGTACTTACAAGAGTACAACTACCGTCTACTGACGGATTATACGTAACCCGAAATGAAGAGTGACTTTGATATGTTCAGAAAATGTCCTCAGTTATATTTTAGCTTATGATTCTGTTTTTTACATCAGTCGGCAACATAGAAAAAGCAGATGTTTGAATGGACTTTGGTGTGTAGCTTATTAAACATAAACAGACTGGTTGTGATCATTTAATCCTCACAAGCAGCTCAACAGCTTCTGACTTACACTTTCTGTAACCAACTGCAGGCCAAACTCTACTTGTCCATAATTGATGATGTGATTGAGAGTATGAGGGAGCTCTTCTTGGATGAAGGGCTTGAAGACTGCGTTCTTGACGACTTAAGACGTGTGAGTCATAGTCTACATAACCCTGTTTAACTTTTTTATTTTATTTTTATTTATTTATATTTTTTAAAAACTACATACAAACTTTAATGAGCATCTTGACTGAAGTTGTCAGTTACAGCAAAGTTAGATCATCTACTGAGGAAGTATGCACCAGAGCAGTGAGACATACTGCTGTGTCTTCTGCTGTGCAGCTTTGGGAGTCAAAGATGATGCAGTCTAAAGCAATGGAAGACTTCAGGAAAAACAACATTAACTCATCCAACTTTGTGCTCCAGCTCCCCGCCAGCTACAGTCAGACTGATCAAGAACTGGCAGGTAACACAGTGCCGCTAGAAACTCAACTGCTTACCAACAAAACTAAACATCTTCAGATACATTTTAACTTATCCGAAGAGAAGTAATGCAGATGGTCAAACTAAGAGTATTTTAAAGCTGTTCACTTTAAATGCACCATGAAAGGAAAATATACCAGTGTGTGCAACGTTACACCGGATTACCTTTTGGATTTAGACATTTTTGGTGCGAGTTTGTGCATAAAGAGTACAAACTAATGTAACTGAAGTGATTTAGAGAGAAGACAGCCCATTCTTCAGGTGTTTGTATCACCTGCTGTTATCTGGTTTCTGTCATCAGCATCAGTTGTGATCCCTGCAAGTCAGAATATCCACAGCTTCCCAGTCAAGGCAAGTATCATCTACATTTACAGTATATCTCCTCCTTTTTTGAATATTGATTTGAAGTACTTTTTCAGAGCTGACAAAATCAGATTTCATCAGATTCTTATCTAAAAGCAAAGTATAATGATAATATAATCTGGTTGCTTAAATTGAATTTGTAAATTGCAGACACCAAACTAAAAGTGGGGAAAAAATTTAGACTTGAACAAGGATTTTTTAAAACTAGATTACACACTTGGATCATATGACTAACCTGTCTGATTCATTGATGATTACATGCTTCGTAACCCAGATGTGTGTGTTGTATTGTTTTCACCAGAATTTTTATAACAGAACTTCACTGGATATTGTATTTGAAAATACTGGAGACTTGAATTTTCTATCTGTGGAATTAAAAACTGAAAAACGTTTTTGAAATTTCACCATATGAAGTGACCACATAAACTCAGCTAGATGGTTGCCATAGCAAAAATATTTAACTCCTTTGCGCAATGTTTAATTGCAGAACAACTCAGAGACGATGACTACCTTCTCTCTCCCTGCTGGGTTGGCTTACCCTGTGCAGATACCAGCAGGAGTCACTCTACAAACAGCCTCCGGTACGCCATGACTTCACTTGTTATGGGCCTACATTTGTTCCTGTTTTTAGCCTGGACCGTCGGTTGGAAATAACATTTCACTCCTCTCTTTTGCCTCACTAAGGTCAACTTTACAAGGTTAACGTTCCTGTTGTGGTTACTCAGGCCCCAGCAGGTCAGCAACCTGTATCTCACCCCACACAGAAAGCTCCTGCCCTTCAGTCAGCTGCAATCCCAACAAATACCATTCATCCTCAGGAGGTGGAGCCACCCCCTCTCCTAGCTCCCCCTGTCTCACAGCCGCCACAGCCAAAGACAGCTTTACTCCCCAGTCAGGAGAACAGCCTCCCCCAGCAGCCACAGGTTCCCGCTGCTGCTGACACCTCGCAGCTTCAGGGGGTCCCCTCTCCATCGCCGGAGGTCACACTGGGAGAAAATGAGCCGAGTCCACAATCTGAACCTGTGAACTTAAGTATGAGCGCCTCACCCAGCGGTCAGGTGTTAGACTTCCAGCTCAGCACAGAGGAGGCTTTGACACAGACAGCACAGTTAAAAACCAGAGACATTGATGACATCCTGAAAAAAGTGATCGAGGAGGAGAGGGAGAAAGCGGAAAGGGTGAGGAAACTAGCGTCTGCAAAGGCTAAAGACCAGTCTGTGGCTTTTCTCTGGGTAATTTTAATGAGAATATTCCCTTTTTAAGCAAATACCAGAAATAGGAAAAGACTAGAATGAATGAATAAATACACATTTTGGGAAATACACTTATTCACTTTCCTGCTGAGTTACATGAGAAAATCGACACAACTTTCATATTTGTATGCTAAATGTGTAGCTGGAGCCAGCAACTGGGTAGCTTAGCTTAGCATAAAGACTGGAAATGGTCAAACAGCAAGACTGACTTTGTCTGATTTCAATAAAATCTGCCTTCCAGCAACTCTAAAGCTCATTAATAAACATGTCAGTTAGTTTAATCCTTTATGCTAAGCTAAGATCACCAGCGGCTGGCTCTAGCTTTATATTGACTGGATCAACATAAAGTGGTATTGATCTTTTCACCTAACTTGCGGCAAGAAAACATATTTGTGTATTTCCTGAAATGTCCCTCTTGAAGGGGTGCTCAGCCAGTGTTCAAAAATGTGTGTTTTAAAAGACATGGGTGTTTATTAGATAGAGAGGCTAGAAGGAAAGACATTCATTTGCATTGTGGGAAGTTTAGGATCCAGTATTTTTGGAGTTTTACCCATACTAGCGAGTAAAAGTCGAACAGCAACCTCCAGGAAAATGAGGTAACACTCAAGTACCAAAAGCTACAGTTCCTCAAATGGCCACTTGAGGCTGGCGAGTCAAAGCCAGTCAATCCCCACAGACTCCATGTTAAAATGCCCAACTTTACAACAGAAATAAACATGTTTACAGCCTGTTACAAAAAATGGTTTTTGGTCTCTACAGCTAATTCCCCCCTTCATGACAACAGTACTGGGGGTGAATTTTTACAAAATTCACCTGTTTAAATTTTATTAATGCTTAAAGTTCTGCATAATTGATGGTGTGCAGCTTTGAGTGACAGGTGGGTGAAAGTATGCTTACCACAAACCGGCTCCACGCACGCCCCACCTCTTTGCCTATTTTGAGATTAGCAGGGAGTCAGACACCGACTCTTCAGAAACCTATGGGTCACGTCACGGAGGCTGCGTCCATCTTTACATACAGCCTATGGTAAAAGTCAAGACAACATTTCCATGTATCCCCCAATGTTATAGAAGTTCAGTACTAAACCCCTTTCTAAATGCCCCTTTAATTCATCTGAAATGGATGTTTCCATTTGTGATAAAAAATTAGCATTCATGTAATCAAACTTTGTCCCATTAAAGTTTTTTTGACTACGAAGTTCTCAACATGACACACAGACTGCTGTGCTGTCATCTTACACATAACCGGTATGTTTCTTCTTGCCATTCCTGCTATGGACCAGGGCTACAGCTACAGTGAACTGTCGGACATCGTTCAGCTGGATGGTCCTGCAGACAACTCTGACATCGAGGAGGAAAATGGAGTTCCCCTGGAAGAGAACGACTTTCTGGGTATAATCAACGCAGAGGCCATAAAGGCCCTGCAGGAAGGAGATGGAAGCAGTGACGGCAACAGCATCTCCTCCAGCAGCGACAGTGACGGAGCAGACGAACTCGGTAATGTAGAGGAAGAGGTGAGAGAGAGAGATTCTGATGTTTTTGTTTTGTTTTTTGTTTTTTTACACTGAAGAAGCTCTGCAGTGTCACGCTTTAGAGGCAGACAGCACAGATTTTTTTTTTCCAACAGCATTTCTTTGATTGCACGTTTTAACAGCTTGTTTTCCCACAACACACCTTCTGTTGATAAGGATCCTTTGAATTCAGGTGATGATGTGATTGAGCAGGACATCCCCGATCTTTTTGACACCGACAATGTTATCGTTTGCCAGTACGACAAAGTAAGAACATTTCAGCTCTAAACTCGCCATTATTTACCTCTCAATAAAGCCCAGTGCTGAATGCTCCTGAATACAGACTGTTAATATTGTAAAATGTTCTTTATTGCAGATTCACCGCAGTAAGAACCGCTGGAAGTTTCATTTGAAAGACGGAGTGATGTGTTACGCAGGCAGGGACTACGTGTTCTCTAAAGCTGTTGGGGAAGCTGAGTGGTAATGAGCTTTAGCTCTCCTGAAAAGATCAGATAATCATGTTGAAACAGGGGAAACAATGATTTAAAAGGGAAAAACAATTAGTGAATTTAGACCATTTGGTGGTGTAATTTGGCTCACAGGGCAGGAGGTTAAAACACCACCGAGCAAAATCACTGATACTTTAGTTGTTTTTTTTGTTTTTTTTTTGTAATGCAATTATCAGAGCAATCCTGCAAGTCATTTACGATCTTACAACTGATTACTTACAGTGTTGCTTGTGAATCCAATTTACTGCGACAAACAGCATGAATTTATGTTGTATAATGTTTTGTTAAATGGATTTCTTCATTAGAAGAGCAAAACATTATTTGACCTGTTTCTTTGAAGGTGTTTACTGCTGTTTGATTTTCTAGCATTGTAACGTTTTCCCTTTTAATCATGTATCAAATACACTGAATTGTACTGTTGTGCTGCAGTGGGCTCTTTTCTTTTAGTGCAACCCCGTACAAAGCAAGTGTTGCCTCATTGTTACAGTAGTTTTTATACTTCAAACCAAAAAGATCCCAGTGGCTTATAAATGCCAGCATGCACACTAAAACAGATTTTACATTTTTGACTGTGGTTTTGATACTAAAGGTGTTACAGCTTGAAAAAAGAAAATGTGGAGGGTCGTGTGACAGCTCCAGCAAATCCTTGGAAAATATTTTTACTCTTGATATGTCAGGTTCATATATATATAGACCAGTAGAAGTGGAGGTTTGCCATGTGTCTCTTTATATATTATGGGATCTAAGACTCAACAGCTGTTTCTAAATAGGGGAAAATGGAAAAAAGATGTTTGGCACAAGTAGTTGAACACACTTTTATTTTTAATTAAACATCTTATTGCGAAAATCCAGGACATTTTAAAACAGCAGTAATATGTCTCATTAAGTTTATGTGGGTGCCCCGGCCTGTCTGCAGTCTTTAAGTCTCCTGAGTACAACAATCCAATAGATGGCACTAAAACTCAAACAACAAACACATTTACTTCATTATATTCAAACTTAAAATTCATTATATTCAAACTTAAAATTTCAACCTCTATAAGGTCAGAATAATAAATATTTTCCTCTTTTTGATCTTTAATAGAACTAAATGTCACTGCTAGAAATGACATCTTACTCACCTGCTGTTTCATATAGCTTGATCTTAATAAATGACCATCAATGATAAGCTTTAGGATAACTTTGCAAATAAAGTGGCCTGTTTCATTTGTTCCACATTCCTGCTCCATGAAACTGCTTCTTTGTACCACATTACCTGTGGAGAAACGGAGGGTGCAGCACCTGTTGTCTTCAATTTTAGGTCTCTTGGTCCTGACTGATGAAATTCTCCTTTTGTAATATAACCTGGACCACGTACAAGACTTGACAATCTCATCACCCTGACCTAAATTTTTGAAGATATGCCACATTTTTTGCAAGACAGCAGATGCTGCCAATATGTTCCTAGTAACATTCTATACATTGATGGTCAAGTAGTTCCCTTGTTTAGAAAGCAACCTTTCCTCTTAATGTGATGGGTATAGAAGCTAAGCGAGTGAGGTTTTCTGGCGGACATTTTTTGCGTACAGGTGAGGTGTGAAGCCAGAATCTGTGACCTGTAGAAGTCGGTGCTGGCGTGGCAGCAGCTGCAGCGACTCAGCAGCGCACACACGTCCTTCCTGAAAGCCCTGGTGAAGATGGTGTACAAGAAAGGGTTGCAGAGGGAGTTGATGGGATAGAAAAGGATGAGTAGGATCTTTGAGTGAGACACAGTTATGAGGGGCATACACAGGGCTGCAGAGATGGCGAAGAAGGAAATTGGCGCCATGCATATAAAGTCAGTGAAAATGAGCACAGCCATGCGTTTGGCAAGCTTGGTGTCTCCATGACGAGTGGAGTGCTCTGGGTTGTGAACACTCAGATAAATGCATATGTAACAGTAACAGACCACAATGAAAGCGACAACATTGAGAATGAGCACAGCCACCACGTAAACCTGGGAGCCAAGTGTGTTGATGTCCATGGGCAGGCAGATGCTCACTTTGCTGTAACTGCTGACCCCCACAAGAGGGAGCAGGGCAACCAGCAGAGAGAAGCCCCAGCCTGCCCCCATGATGGCTGCCACATGGTGCATCCGCAGTCTCTTGTTGACATGCATGGCATTGGTGATGGTGTGCCAGCGTTCAAGGCTAATCACAGTCAGTGTGTATACTGATAGCTCACTGGCAAACACTGTCAAAAACCCTGCTATGCCACACCCGGGCCCAGTCTGCCAGTCCGTGGCGTGGTTGTAGTACTCGTGACGGGAGTAGTGGTCCATGAAGGCAATGAGCATCAGGTAGAGCCCCATGCACAGGTCAGCAAAAGCCAGGTTACACATGAGAAATCTGGAGATGGTTAGCTTATGGTGGCTTACTAGCAGGATAACCAGAACAGACAGGTTACCAGTTACAGCGAAAGCTGTAATTATCCAGGTGAGACAGCGCAGGAAGGGAAAGCCCAGCAGGTCCTCACACGGGTTAAAAGCATCTGGCTTTGGGGTGCACTTGACGAAGGGGCTTTTAAGACAATCAAATTCCAGGTCTGGGTACTGAAAGTTGATGTCATCAATAAGATTCAGGCCGTCTGCACTGGGCTCTCTAAATGCAGAAGAATACAGATGGTTGAGATTACCATAAACATTGCAGAGCAATTGATCAAGAAAAACTATCTGCTTAAGGGACAGTATGGAAATTACTGAGGTGAGGGGATGCAGAACTTACATATTTTGAGGAGAGCAGGGAAAGGCCCTTTAACTTGTTCTCATCCCAGAGTACCATTGTATTTAAAAAAATAAAAATATTTTCATCAATGGATTATGTTAATCCTGTCTGCTTATTAGAGTTCATTTTTCTCATTAACAGGTTTGAGAAACAGAATAGAGGTGGATGTTTATTAGTGGTTAAAGCTAATTTAAAATAAAATTAAATGTGTCATAAAGTGACAGCTCTTCCTTCAAAAATACATATAATATTTAGTAAACGGGGCATTTTGTTACTTTGTCCATGATTTTGTTAATTGCTAATTTCACTCCTTTTTTTCAATTTGGGTGTGAGTTATGGTACACCTCAAATTCTTCGTACACTTTTAGTTATTTATGCCAAAATGAATTGCATCAATTCAATAGGCTTGGGGAGTGTGTTACATTTCTTTCTAAGGGGAAGGTCCAGAGGAAATGTTTATAATGTTAATAAGGTCTTAATTTTTTTAAAAAGTGACTTACATTTCTGTTTCGCTGAGATCACAAAACTTTGTGAAGTTCTTTAAGGCACTTTCCCTTTAAATAAATAAAAGAAAGGAAAGGAAAAGGTTAGACCGCACAAAATGTCAATAAACTCAACTGCTAATTGCCAAACTCCTGATGATCTGTATTCATTAGACAGAGCTTTTGTTCTTTATGCAGATGTGAATGGATTTGTTACATCTCTGGGAGCGGTCGTCGGCTACCTTTGTTTTCGACGCCACGTGTGGAAGGCACAGCAGTGGCTGGGGTACGTGAGCTCGGCCTCCACCAGTTCAGCCAGGCTTTCCAGAGGAGGGAGGCTCTTCAGAGCAAAGGCAGAGCTGGCTTTCAGGAACCGCACCTGCCTCAACCCTTTAGGTGGGAGGGAACTCAGAGCTGTGGAGGAAACATCCCTGAATCACACACGCAGAGAACGTAGACATACATTTCAGTGGAGATTAGTGAAGTAGCTACCAATAAAATAGTGTTTTCATGAGGCATTGGACTACAACAAGCCACTAGAACAGCTCTGGTCTATCTCAACTTGAATTTCATGTGTAATTTAAACTCTGTTGGAGGCATACATAGCCAGGTTTTCCCATGACAGGACCCATCATTTGGTGTTTTGTTGATGGTGCTAAGAAATGCTGTTTCAGGCAAATGCTGCTGAACCTCCCGCAGGTGTTAATTGAGTTCTAGTGACTGCGGCAGCCAAGCTCTAATTTACAGTGTTTTCATATTCATCAAACCAGTGAGCAGATCATGCTGTTTTTCTAAAGAGATGCACATTGACAACAAAAATGCTTCATCACAGAATGGAGATCGAAATTACAATGACATTCACGACTGAATTCATTTCATCCAAAGCGAAAATAATATTTAGGAGCTACTCTGCTCCCTCATTTGATTGGATACTTGTAACCTGACATTACACAGAGGTAACACATTGGACCCCACACAAGCAAAAGGATGACCTTTGGCATTTCTTGCATGTCAGTGAATACCACAGACACTAATTCATAACCAAGATAAGCGGAAATTTCACATCTACAAAATGGGGTTGCTCGCACTCAGAGACCTTGTGAGCTGTATGCTCCTCGGACTTGGCTGTTTGCTCGCTATAATCAGCATTCAGCAGTCCTGGCTGCCTTGTTGGTTGTTTACACAGACTGACTGTCACTGCCCTAGTGTTTATACAATAAAATGATAAACATTGTTATGAATATTAATCTTGCTTCACTGACCCAGTTCAAATGATCGCCACAATGCTGTTGATTTAAACAACAATAGATAGAGAATGTATGAATGTCCTCGGTCATATTTGACTTTCATACAATCTGAAATTTACATGTTAAATATTAACTGTAATTTCCTGTCATGATCTCTACTCTACATTATTATTATAATATTATAATTATTATTATTATTATTTTAAGAGGCAAAAAAAAAAAAACTTTGACATGACGTGGTACTTTAAGTAAGGAACTGCAGTTGTCATATCATCACCTTTTAAGATGACATAGCTAACATGTTAGCAAGCAGTTCGCTTTACATGCATTATAACATCTACGTAGCGACGCTAGCATTCATTTGTAGCCATGTTCCTGGCAACCTGGTGAATGTTAGTCCTTTTATTTCTCTCTTCTTTTAGTTCTGTTTTGTTCTCCCCCAACTTCTGAGAAAATTATCTGTCTCTTCAGCTGCTAAATGCTCCACTCTATTCATTAGCTAGATGCTAACTTTGTCTATCGATGATTAGAGCCTTTTTTTTTTTTTTTTTTGGCTGAAATCAGGTGTCTGCTGTGGCTTAAAACGACACAGTTGAAAACAGTGGGCGTGATGGTTGATAATTCACTGTAAGTTTGTCACTATGAACGACCCCTTTCGCATACAAGTAGCCATGTGATCCACTGTTAATGTGAAAATATTGACTATGGCAGCTTTAAATAAAGGATCTGAACTGGTCTTCCACCAATGATTTTTAAGCTGACTCCTGGAAAACTGTCACAACATTTTCTTTGGTTTTATTGATATTATTAACTTGAATCAGTGTCACTTACAGAGAACTCGGACCTGTGGCTCCTTCAAAAGCATCTTCTTGAATGTAACTGAGATACCTGTTGTCTCTCAAAATTCTACAAAAGACATAAAAAAAAAACACACACACAACTGTAACACAAGTGACCTCCACTCCTAACTGTAGTTTTGCAGCTACCATACAACATGAGAGAAAATTATAAATGACACGTTACTGTTCAACAGTGCCCAAAAGCATTTTTCATCTGCTTTTTGTTTTCTCAATTTGACACTGAAGAAGATGAGCATTATTTTTAGACTGCAGGGTGTCTGCACATATCTCGTCCCCATCAACATTCAGCAGTACAGGGCAGAGCAAGAAAACAACAGGGCATCCAATCTTTGTTTAGTCTTACATAACGTTTGTTTACTGGTACACTCAGTTTTTATGATTAGAAAAAAAAAAAAAAGCCTTAACTGTGAACAACATATTTAACAGCAACATACTGTATTGACCTGTTATGTTGTTGTTAGGTTAGTACTGTATGAGGGAAAAATGTTGATAATCAAAATGCTTACAGTGTGTTGAGCTTGGTTCCATTGAATGCATGAGATTTAATTTCCTTGAAGCCGTTTCTAAAGAGGTTCCTGTGAAGGACACAATGTTATAGATTTTAGTTTGCTGTCAAACGCACCTATCACCAAGGTCAGAACTGAACATTCAATTACATAAGCATATTGAGACACATCAAAAAACATTCTCAATGACTGGTGACAAATTGTTGCTCCCAGCTCCGATAATATTGTAACAAAAAGAATCTGGTTCCTGTACTCACATGTCAACAAACTCCTCTGCGATACCCTGGAAAGAATTGGCAGGAATGAAGTCGATCCTCATGTTGTCTGCCATTTCTCTGCACATGGAAGAGATAACATTCACCACTCACTCAGACGGTTTGGCTAAATTATCAGTTAGACAAAATTATGTATATATGTACAGAATATAAAAAAGAGCGGTTTGATGAACTGTGACCTAGTTGCAGTATTTGCAGCAGGGTTGGTGGCATCGTGACATTGACAGATAAAAGTAAAACTGGGTTCTACTTAAGAGTTAGAACATGAAGAACGTGCAGTTTTGCAACAAGCAGAAAGACACTAATCCGGTTTGGAAAGACACTATTTTTGAAATAGGATTACTTACAGGATAACATTTGGTGCCAAGGAAGAGATAGTTGTGAAGTCTGGGAAGTTTACCATTCCTGTGTTAGTGATGCTCCTGTGAAGACAAGCAGCAGAGACAGATGATCACAGGCATTTAAGGACAAATCTTTAAAGTGTCCACAAAAGAGTCGCCGATTATCTCAGCTGGTAACCTCTTAACATCCACTTTCCCTCCTTTTAGCTCCACGTTTACACTATATCTTTTTCAACCCTGTCTGACAGTGTCATACATACTCTGTATGGGCTTGTTCCAACTCATCATTTCTATTAATTTGATGTTTATCTCTCTAGGGACATGACATGGACCAGTGCCACATACTGCAGCGTTTTTAGCTTTAGCTAGTTCTCACTGTCAGACAGTAGATGTGCCTTTATACAAATACACACAACTCAACAGGAAAACACAACCAGAGTGAAGAAAAAACACACAAACAATAATACAATACCAAGACTAATAGTCTACAGTCACACCAGCAGCTCTGTGAGGCTAAAGCCTTGAGCATTACTGCTAATGTCACCATGCTAACAGGAAGATGTTTGGCAGGTATAATGTTCACCATCTCAGTTTAGCATGTTAGAGTGGGACCACACTCATAAACATTCAAATTGATTAGGCTTCTAAAATTTGCAAGTAAATTTGTAATACGTACTGATGCCTTTTAAAAAAACAAACAAATTTGGGATGGCCACTAAATTTAATATAAAGTCACATTTGCACGATGCTCAGAGAATGAGACTGTAATGATTGACCCACCGGTTCATCAGTGGGGTTTAAATAGGGGAATAATAACAAATAATATAAAACAGAACGACTTACAAATATTCCAGTCTGGGCAGGTCAGTGAAGGCCCCTTTTTCAATAGCCCTCAGACTGTTGATATTCTGCACAGAACTGCAGGAACAGAAATGAGCAAAAATATCGGTAATTACAACAATTGTTGTCAGTCACCTTCAACAAACAAACACAGTAAAACCCATGAATTCATCAGCCGCTCTGGAAGTCAAGGATTAAACACGCTGCTTTGTAATTGAGAGACTAATCCTGTGGAACTTAAATGAAATGCAGAACACATAGCAGCTGTTCAAATGAATAATTGCTTTCATCACCTTTGAATATGATGTGTGATGGGAAGGTAAGTGTCGCTTACATTTGCGCCAGGCTGTGGAGGGAGAGGAAGGCATGTCTCTGTATCTGTGTGATGCAGTCGCTCTGGGAAATCTCACTGTGACACAAAGAAATGGCTCCACATCAGTCAACAGATTAACAAGAGACTGTAAACAAATTACTCCTGAAACGTCTCAGATTCAGCCAGCAAATAAGCAATTTTAGTCAAACAAATATTGAGAGTGACACAAGTGCTTATTATAGATTTATTTCCACACTCACTTACTTTCTTTGAGAAATAGGGCAGAGTTGATTGATACAGGGATACAAACCACAAGGGAAATATTAAAATACCACCGCCAACAATTCATACTTCTAGGGCGCAACACACGCACACACACACAAACACACAAACACAAACACACACACGCACGTCTTCACCTCATGTTTGGAAAAATTCCAAACTTACATCTTGGATGCATCTGGGCCAAGAAGACTAAGTGAAGACGTTTAAAAAGGAGTACTGAACAAAGACATTTTCTGAGACAAACAAAGTCAACAAGACTTCTTGATTTGTCCTTGAACAGTTTGTTTTCTGATGGCTGACTCTCCTCTCCATCTTCTTTTTTGTAATCATCGTTTCAGACTCCCACTCTGCTGTAATTAGCCGACACTTTTCTTAGGGTTAATGTCGTTCTGCTTCCATTTCACACTAAGAAACAATTAAATGACTCCATCTGCACTGCTTGCATTTTCTTTTCTTTTTTTTCATTTTATCCCCTCCTCTGATTGCATTGCGTATAGTGTCATAATTACCACTTACAGCTCATGGAAAGCTTTTTCACATGATCATCTAGATGAAGCGGCGCTGTGATTTCCAGCTTGCGTCATCAATGACAAACCACACGCAGCTCCTTGTGTCATTCCACCTTGACACAGGTTTTACTGGTTAACTTGCTCTAGGCTAAAAAAGATGAAAAAAAAATCTATAACTTCATTTAAACTTTTTGATGGAGACATAATTTGAACAGAACAAACCTGTGTAAATACTGTGACTGTGAGTATCTGAGACTGATAAGACTTGTCCCTGAGGAGCAGAACAGAGTCAAATGCACTCAGCTCAAATTGAAAATGGTTTCACCACAGGGTAACAAACATTTCATATGCGCTCATCAAACTCTTAGTGGTATATTAATTAAATGGTGGATAATGTCATGGCTTTAGGACTGAGTATTTAGTAGCTGTAAACATGATAAAGATGAGAAGTAATTATTCAGAAATTCAGATGAAAAGAGGTTATGTTTTCAGTAAGACATCTCATTCTGTTGTAATTGGATTTAGGTGAAATTTATTGACCTGATCGCCATTTGAACCAAGGAACAACTGATTACATTTAGGCAATGATATTTCTGGTCTGGTAATCCTGTCCTCAGACAATTTGTAGTTTTTACCGCTGCATTGTGTATGCACTTGTGCTGTCGAACAGTCCAACTACTGAGACTTGCAAGCCAGCTGGTTATGAAACGACTGCGCTTTGAAATCTGTCTTGCTTTGACGTACGTGGCCTTCACTGTTTCACAGCAGTTTTATTTCTACAGCTTTCTTCTTTTCAATAGATCATGTTGAACAAAGAATATCCATGAATTCACTTTTTTTGTTGATTCTTAATGAAATAACTGTCATACATAACAGCCACATCTATATTTAGAAACGTTTTTTTTTTGATTGCTGAATGAATGAAACCTAATAGCTGATAATACAGAATAAAGTAAGAAAAAAATGGCAGTCATGCGTCATCCTAAACATAGCACATGTTGGGAACATGATGACATAAGCATGTGGGTGAAACTTCTTTCTACGGAGATAACATGGCCTTTTTCAGTAACCCCAGTTAAAAGTGCTGTTATGTCAGCAAATAATGAAGAGTCAAGAACAAATGTCAAGATACAAGCATCTCATGAATACCTGATGTAACAGTGGAGTCTTTAGTAGTAATTCATTGGGTCATGACAAATACATAAACAGTATATATAATTTTTTTTTCATAAATATGGGACATCATTTTTTCTAAACATTTTGTACTGACTGCACTTTTATTTCTGAGTCTGATTTCTGAAAATGACATATTTCTCATTTTCACAGCTTGAGAGATATGTGTCTAATAATTTAACATAAGAAACTACAACATTTACATCCTTTTAAAGGACATAAAGTCTTCCAGCATTCTATAACACTTCAGTATACACATACAGCATATCATACACTACTAAACAATGTTTTGTTTAATCTTGTAAAATATGACCCTCATTATGTTGTACAATCTCCAGGCTTCTGTGGTGAGGTGTGAGAGGCAGGCGGGTGTGTGTACGTGTGGCAAACAAACACTACTGCTCGATTTCTTACTGCTGCTGTAATATGCTCCCACATGTTTGGATAAATTACTTGATTGAACACTTTCAATACTGTTCTGTTGTTTCATCCAAAATGGATATTGTGGATACTCTGCACACACACTCTGCACGCTACAGGGAAAGTGTTAATAACTGTATTTGGAAGTTAATTTGCAACAGACTCAAAAAACCTTTTTTTCCCCTATTATCCAATACATCACATTTCCTTACAGTGGTGACATTTGCAGTAAGTTCACCCAAAGCACATGATAATATTACTGATAATATTGCTGTAAATGTGTATGTATATTTATTTAGAGTTGCTCAAATGTTTCATGTCCTAATTCTGTCACATTTCAAGGCAGGCATATAACATACATTTAACTGCATTATGAAGGTAAAATGCATAATTAGTCTGATTTTTTAAAACATATTTTGAATAGTCAGCATTCGCCTTTGCTTGTGTGTTTCATCAAGGTTTCATGAAGTGTCTATCAACAGTGTGCGTCCTTAGCCCCAGCTTTGATGCAACATTAATTCATCCACTGTAAATTTGACTTACATTATTGTGATGTTGATCAGCTCCTTGAAGGCATGAGTGGGGACTTCTTTCAAGGGAAGATGAGTGAGCCTTCTGTAACAGCCAGAATTTAACTTGTTGATTCCACATTAACACACAGGGTAAAAAAAAAGATACAGTCTCTTCAGCTTATCCATCAAAATTACATTTATGATAAGTCACATAATAAAAATTACTAAAAGTAACTTAGTGAGAAGTCAGATATAATAAGTCCCAGAAGAAGAAAAAAAGTTCATGAAGTAGCAGAAGGGCGCTGATGGGTTCAGTAGTGAATAAAGTGTCACAGATCATTCACAGGAGGATTACAGACGAGAGCTAGAAAGCTGTTTCACTTACAGTCGAGACACTGATGTTGTCCCTGCCCGAGAGGCCAGCTGAGTGTCTCTGCTGCACTGAAAAGTGTCGGCGCTGCAGCGGCAGATGGCCGGACAGGTATAAGCCCAGCAGGAGCGCACATTCAGAACACCGGACAGCGCGACCAGGAGCCAGACCGCCTGGGGAGCCATGTGTGACACCGGGCCACTCACTACGGAATTAAAATAAGTATATAAAGAAAAAAAAAAACTCGGAGTCTCCTCAAAGTTGAAGATAAAAAAAAAAAAACTACTCTGGGAAACACATGCTAAGCCAAAGGCAAAAGGCTAAATAATGTCATGGGCTTTTTTTTTTCCTCCCACCTGCGCAGTGCTGCCTTCACGTGCTGCCGTAATTGCGACTCTGCTCTCTGTTCGGGAGATCTAACACAGTGAAACACATGCGGAATTGCCTTTGACAGCTGAGCCCCAGAGGTGTGACGTTTAGTGGGTGGAGATCATGAAAGCTCTGGTGTTAAAAGTGATGTGGTGAAGTCACGCTGTCACTCACTTTTGTGTGTAATAAATCACTTTTCAAGGGTGGAGACTAACTTTTTTTTTTTGCATTCACAATTATGGTGGTGTTATTTTGTGTTTGATAGCTTTGAGGGTTAAATCTTGTAGTAGGCTACTTATTAGCTCCATCATTAAAACATAAAAATAACATTAATTCCCCTGTTTTAATTGTTAAAGGACCATAACAATGGGTTTGCTCCTTTTTTTTCTGACCATTTACCATTGCATGCTGTACATTTTTACATTTAAGGATGTGCTCTTCCTACTATTTAAAGGTTTTGTATATGAGATTTTAAACAATAATGTAGCAGAAAATAACTATCTTGTATGTTATATAGTGGAGTAATGGTGTCCTGAGCAGAGGTCACACAGCTCTGTATGCGTTGTAATCTGAGTTTCTCTGTTTTATATTTTGGTAGGCGGTCTGGCGGATCGTGCACATCAATGCATGTACATGTGCGCGTGAGTGTATGTGAGCATGGGACCGCCCACAGGTGAGATGGCACAGTGCAGTGTTTCAGGTGAAAGCGACCTTCAAGAATTTCCTCCACTGCATCTGAAAAGGCCTCTGCCAAAGACGGAGATGAGACGGATACAGGTGGACTGGTCATGGCGGACTATCGTGAGGCCAGTCCCAAAGGATAAGTCCAAGGCTGAATTTCTTTCCCCGTCCGACCGTGGAGCCAAAAACTGGTCTGGCTTTAGCGAGATGGAGAGCCCTATACGAGCCCTATACATTGGTTGTGGCTAGTTTTTTTTTTGTTGGCTCTGTGTACAGGGTAACTTTATTCAGTTGTGCTTCTTTTTGTGCTCTTAGTGGCCACTTTCACTGTGGCCACTAAGAGAAAGTGGCCACTAAGAGCACAACTTTTTCACATTTTGTTTTGTTGCCGCCTTACCCTAAAACTTAATTTTTCCCTCCATCAATCTACACTCAATACACCATAATGACGACGTGAAAACAGAATTTTAGGAATTTTTGCAAATTTATCAAAAAGGAAAAACTAAAATATCACCTTGACATAAATATTCAGACCCTTTGCTGTGACACTTGAAATGTAGTTCAAGTGCCTCTAATTTCTCTTGATCATCTTTTAGATGTTTCTACATCTTGATCAGAGTCCACCTGTGGTCAATTCAGCTAACTGGACATGATTTGGAAAGACAAACACTTGTTTATATAAGGTCTCACAAGTGACAATGCACATCAGAGCAAAAAACCAAGAGGTCAAAGAAACTGCCTGCAGAGCTCAGAGACAGGATTGTGTCGAGGCACAGATGTGGGGAAGGCTACAAAAAAATTCTGCTGCATTGAAGGTTCCCAAGCGCACAGTGACCTCCATAATTCTTAAATGAAAGAAACATGGCACAACCAGGAGAGCGAGTCTGCCTGGCCAAACTGAGAAATTGTGGGAAAAGGGCCTTGGTAAGAGAGGTGTCCAAGGACCTGATGGTCACCCTGGCTGTGCTCCAAAGATCCTGTGTGGAGATGGGAGAAACACTTTCTGAATCCACCATAGTATCATACATGCATCTCAGCAGAACATCCCACTTGATAAATGAGCATGTAAAAATCCCTAAAAGAAAACACCATTGCTATTTAAAAAAAAAAAAGCATGTAAAAGATCTACTGTATGTACCATTTAAAATGACAGAAATCAAAGGTGATGTTAGAGAACACATGACGACACCTCTCTGCTGCTGCAGCTGTGTTTTTACTTGTGGCCTGGCCTACTGTGCGCTGCAGCTAACTATGTTTTTATGTTGACTCATAAAAATATGAATTCACATGGGGAGTAACTCTGAAAAGTGTGACTTTCAAAAATAAAGCTTACTTTGTTGGTAGGAGGCAGTTCGTTAGTGTTAGAAGAGTGGGTTGGTTCCATTAAAATATTCCCAGTCAGTGCAACACTGAGTGTGTGGAAACTAATGGTACAACCAAGTCTGCAATTCTGCAGTAACAGGTGCAAGAGCCCCATTTAACCATAACCATGGATGAAAATGCTTCTGTTTGTTTTTCCCACTGGTTAACACTTTTCACAGGGTGGCTCGTCAAAGTGGGAAAAGGAGAGTGGGAACGAAAAACAGCTCAAAACAGCAACAACACAAATTCAGCACAACCTTTTTGCAGTGAAACCACATGGACTTTTACACCACCTTACATCACATGACACAACACAACAACAAGCCTACGTCCCATTTACAGCAGTTTGTCAAACGTAAAGCTTCGTGTCACCAACATCCTGAGCTGAATCTCCTCTGCTGTCAGTGACCCTGACCCCATTTATACAGCTTTCCTATCCTGCCCTCCACCCTGCCACTGTGACCCATGTCAACAGAGCAGCAACACCTTCTTTTGACTGCTGCTGAGTAACACACACACACACACACACACACACACACACACACACACACACACACACACACACACATGCTCAGTTCCCTGGAGAGGTTACTGCCCAGTGCTGTTTACCAAGACTCTTGAATTCCTTGCCAGCCTCTCTGTCGAGCACAGTGTCAAGTTCCAGTAGGTTGAACCCTGTAGAAGAAAAAACACACTGACAGGGAAAGAGAGACTAATTTATGCAAGCGGACCCTTATGAATCAGCCAATGTCTTCACGCAAACCACCACGCTGTGCATCACGTCGCACCTAGAAGGTCACACGCAGCAGGGGGCAGGGGGAGGCGTTCAAGAAAAAAGCATAAAGACACAATTTCAATATCCGAGTTACAACACATTAAAATTTCATAATTGCTTGACAGAATATTCTAATAGCTGCACTGAGTTGATTGTTAGATTACTGCTGCTTTTTAAGCGTTAGCTGTTTGGATCGCACAGTTTTTAAATAAATTTGTAAAAAGAGTGAAAATGTGCTCAGAGTCACATTTAAAGACAGCAATGATTAATAGTCACATTCTTTATTCAGTATTCAGCAATAGATGAATGCCAAATAAACAACTTGAAGTATTCTGATATTTAATATAAAGAGCTGGTATTTGAGGTCGAGCCTCTAGCTCTGGACAGATTAAGAGACAATGTGCCCCTGGACACACACATGTGAAAGGCTCATTTTGCTTCTCTTTGTGGTCAATTTATCTTTCCTCATTTTTTTTTATTTTTATTTTTTTGTATCTCTTTTTGGTCGTTTTTGAACTCTGTGCGGTCATTATTTTTTTGTTTTTCATCTTTGTGGTCATGCAGCAACTCTTTGTGGTTGTTTTTTTTTTTTTTTCATTTGTCTTTGTGGCTGTTTTGTGTCTCTTTGTAGAAGCCCCCCCTCTGTCATGTGGTACTTCTTTCTCATTCAGTTAAGCTTGAGGCAGGTGAGAACAGCACCTTTGAAAGTGTTGGTTGTCACATTGGTGACAATAAATGAAAAATACATGATGAAAACCACATCACAAGTTTGTCTGGTTCTCAGACACTGTCTCCCTGCTCATTTTGGTGCAGTTTCCTTTCGTTGGCTGAGATTACATTCGCAGACCTAATGAGCTACACATACAGTACAGCTGAAGAGGACTGAGGTCATGTTTACACCGAGCAGGATCAGAGAGTTTTACTCTAAGGCCATGTCCACACTTCTGCAGATGAACTTTAAAACACTTTTTCTCCTCAGTTTTGACCTTGCTATTGTTTTTGTGCTTTTATGTTCACAGCAGAGAAAATTATTTGAAAATGCTGGTGAACGTGTAAACCCTTGACATGTACACAGTAACGACTCGACTCCACATTAGTGGAAGATGGACTAAATCTTTTTTTAGAGCAACAGAGGAGCAGATGAGAACAGGTGTCATTCAGACCTGTGTGAACAAGGCGTAACAGACTTTAGGTGGGATTGTGCCCCACGCTGTCACCTTCGCTTGCTTTGTAACTGTATGTCGTTAGAGGTTCCTTTTTTAGGGACAAGGTTCTTCTTACCTCTGGGTGGAAGGCTGTTGACCTGTCAGCATCCCGCTGGTTATCAGGGCACACAAGGAGAGTGTGAGAAACACAGCACAACCCAAGATGATGTGATACAGTACGACACCACGCAGCGTAAAACAGTGCTGCACAGTCTATCATGAAACAATGGAACGCAACATGAAACACAACTCAACATGGAATTACACAAAAGGAGCACAGACATCAATAAAACACACCGGGGCTGAGTCAGAACAGGCCTGCAGTCATTACTGAAAGTGGTGGAAGCAGCAATTGGTGTCAAATGCTGTTTACTTGTTATTTCCACATATAGTGACATTTTCCAGGGAGCGAGTTCAAGAGCGAGCGCACATCAGTGTGGCATTTGAGGTAATTGGCAACGGGGGCACCTAGTGTGTTCTGAGAGTCCCTTTGTTTTATTCTTCACTGAAGCCGCTGTTCAGCAGTGAACGACTTCCTTCCACCTGTCAAACTTAACAGTCATCTGTAAGTTTTGCTGTTGCTAAATAGCCAGTGTTAGTATTAACAGCTGTTTACTTACCAGTCTTGCCAAGAGCTTCAGCCATTCTTGCATCGTCACGAGACAAAAGGTTTTATAATACGTCCTTTGAGCAGCAATACGTCTTCAGGTCAGACTGGATGCTTTAGTGAGTTAATTGAAAAATGACGAGACGGATCGACTGGGCCGGAGCTAGCTGGTTAGCATGCTAATGTCAGTAGAAGAGAATAAGTGACAGAAATAGAAACAAAACAAAAGTGTTGCTTTCCCCCGCTGGAGACAGAGTCTTGGCGAGTAAAGTAATGAAGTCTGATGCTGAACTCACAATGTTCCCTCTAGACTGGTGAGTAAACAGCTGTTTATGCTAACATTGGCAATAGCAAAACTTACAAATCGTTCTCTAAGCAAACTCCTTTAAGGA